CCAAAACAGGCTTACTCTAAGATGGCACATCCATACTGTAAGAAGGTTTCCTGCATCTCCCAGCACAGTCTCAAGACATGACCCCAAGATACTTAAACTCCTTCACTTGGGGCAGCAATTCACTCCCAACTCAACCATTTATCACCAGAGCACCATAGCCTCAGACTTGGATGTGTTAACTTTCATCCCCGCCACTTCACACTCAGCTGCAGACTGCCCCACTGTGTGCTGGACGTCACGTTCTGATGAAGCTAGGAAAACCACATCATCAGCAAATAGCAGAGATGTGGTTCTGAGGTCTCCAAGCCGGACACTTTCCTTCTGCCAGCTTGTTTATTGACTATAGCCAGGTCTCACCTCTCTCACCCTTATTTCTCTGAACTTCTTCCCTGTCTCAGCCGCTAAAAAATTTTCTTACGTTCATTTACAGGAGTCAGTAATGTAGGAGTCAAAATAAGATCATCTGTATTATTCAAAAACTTAACTCAGTCCCCATCACATGCAGTCTATTCCTTCCTTACAAAACATGGATCGCTGCTGTGCACGCTGATGTGCACGCTGCTGTGCACGCTGCTGTGCACCAGCTATGACATGTGCACATGTGTGCACAGTGGTGTACAAATCCTAACCACTCTGCCTCAGCTTGTATTTTGCTTTGACATTCTGGTATAGAACAAATCAATTATAGTGTGGATGCTGTAAAGCATCCACACTGTTATCCTGTTCTTTATTATTATTATTATTTTGATTTCTTCCGTCCGTTTTTCAGCACTTAATTTCTTCAGCATACTTTCAGCTACAAAAGCCATGAAGTTATCAAAATGTTCAACTCTTTAAGGACATTCCTCCTGTATTTTTATTGTTTGTAACATTTATACTTTTTTACATATTTAGCTTTTTTCAGCAGATTTTGCCCCATTCAAATGAATGGAAAAAACTTTCACATCTTAATATCTTCAGCATACCTTCAGCTAAAACCACTATTTCAACTAATAACTATTCAGCAACTCTTCAGCTATTCATACTGTAAACAGCTTTTTGATTTTTTTTATGGTTTTTGCATAATTACCATTTACATTTTATGCCTCATTTCAATAGCCACAGTCTAGTATTTCATAGTGTGTAGGACTACTCTTTCTTTCTCATACACACGATGCAGTCATTGTTGTAGAGTGAAAACAGCAGAGGGGAGAGTACACATCCCTGGGGGGCACCTGTGCTTATTGTCCGGGTGTTGAATGTGGTTTTCCCCAGCCTCACCTGCTGCTTCCTGTCTGTCAGAAAGCTTGTAATCCACTGACAGGTGGGAGCAAGCACAGTGAGCTGGGTCAGTGTGGTTTCAGGTATTTTCCCATTTAGGGGTCGCCACAGCGAATCGTCACACTGATGACTTGCATGTTGACATTTGGCACGTGTTTTACGCTGGATGCCCTTCCTGACGCAACCCTGATTCGAACCAGCGCCACAGTGGCGAGAGCGCTTAACCACTAACCTACCAGGGATGACTAAATACTTTCAGAAAATGGGAAAATTCAACCTCAGCATAATTTCAGCTATCAAAATGTTCAGCTCTTCAAGGACATGGTGCTACTAATCAATTTTTCTAAATCTCATACCTTTGAAATATTTTGCTTTATTTTGAAAGTCTTGCCCCTTTCAAATGAATGGGAAAATTGTACTTCAGCATACTTTTTTATCAAAATGTTTAGCTCCTCAAGGACATTCATACTTCTATGCTGAATTGTTCTAGACTTCTTACTTTTGAAATATTGAGCTTTATTCTGAAAATCTTGCCCCATTGAAATGATTGGAAAAATTCTACTTCAGCATAATTTCAGTTATCAAAATGTTCAGCTCCTCATGGACCTTGAAAATATTCAGCATTTATTCTGACAATTTTGCCCCACTCAAATGAATGGCGAAATTCTACTTCAGCATACTTTCAGCTCTCATAATGTTCAGGTCCTCAAGGACATTGATGCTTCTCTTCAGAATTTTTCTAAACTTCATTCTTTTGAAATATTTAGCTTTATTTTGAAAGTTTTACCCCATTCAAATGAATGGGAAAATTCTACTTCAGCATAATTTCAGCTATTTCAGGTATCAAAATGTTCAGCTCTTCAAGAACATTGGTGCTACTAATCAATTTTTCTAAATCTCATACCTTTGAAATATTTTGCTTTATTTTGAAAGTCTTGCCCCTTTCAAATGAATGGGAAAATTGTACTTCAGCATACTTTTTTATCAAAATGTTTAGCTCCTCAAGGACATTCATACTTCTATGCTGAATTGTTCTAGACTTCTTACTTTTGAAATATTGAGCTTTATTCTGAAAATCTTGCCCCATTGAAATGATTGGAAAAATTCTACTTCAGCATAATTTCAGTTATCAAAATGTTCAGCTCCTCATGGACATTCATTCTTCTGTTCACATTTTTTCTAAACTTCATACTTTTGAAATATTTAGCTTTATTTTGAAAGTTTTACATCATTCAAATGAATGGGAAAATTCTACTTCAGCATACCTTCAGGTATTTCAGGTATCAAAATGTTGAGCTCCTCATGGACATTCATTCTTCTGTTCACAATTTTTCTAAGCTTCATACCTTTGAAATATTTAGCTTTATTTTGAAAATCTTGCCCCATACAAATGAATGGGAAAATTCTACTTTAGCATACCTTCAGCTATTTCAGGTATCAAAATGTTCAGCTCTCAAGGACATTCATGTTTCTATGCAGAACTTTCCTAAACTTCATACTTTTAAAATATTTAGCTTTATTTTGAAAATCTTGCCCCATACAAATGAATGGGAAAATTCTACTTTAGCATACCTTCAGCTATTTCAGGTATCAAAATGTTCAGCTCTCAAGGACATTCATGCCTCTATTCAGAATTTTTGAAAACATCACACTTTTAAAACATTGCTTTATTTTGAAAATTTTGCCCCTTTGAAATGATTGGGAAAAATCTACTTCAGCATACTGTCACGTAGATATGCCTTTCAGGTGTCAAAATGTTCAGCATTTTCAGGGCAATCCTTCAGCACACAGCATCCACACGCATTTACAACAGGAAGTGCATTTCTCTAGTTATTTATTATTCTGGGATCTTCCACCCTTTTTTGGCACTTAATAAGTCCAGCATACTTTCAGCTATACAGGCCATTGAGGTCTCTATCTGTTCAACTCTTCAAGGATATCCCTGCTTGTATTTTTCTTGGTCATAACATTTATAATTTTTAATCTATTCAGCTTTATTTTTTGCAATACAAGTCAATAGGAGCTGAAAGTACTGAGTCAGTGACAGTCTTGGAGTGCCATCTGGTGGTTCATAAAATGCAGCAAAACTGGGACATGCCCCTACATAACTCCTCTCTCTCCCTCTCTCTCTGTCTCTCTCCCCCTCCCCCTCTTTCTGTCTTCCTCCCTATCCCTTACTTTGTCTCTCTCCCCCTCCCCCCTCTCTCTCACATGTGCACACCTACTTGTTTTACCTCCTTTGTGGGGTCCTATTGGACTATTTTCACATCTTAATAAGTTCAGCATACTTTCAGGTAGAAAAGCCATTTAGGTATCAAAATGTTCAGCTCTTCAAGGGCAGTCATTCATACTTTATTGCATCTCATCCTTCAGATTATTCAACAAAGGACTTCACCTATTTCTTCTCAATTATTTCAACAAAGAACTTCAGCCATTTCTTCTCATCTTTCAGCTGTTTCAGCAATTGATTTCAGGCATTTTCAAGACAATCTTTCAGCTTATTAGCATCCACACGCATTTACGACAGGAAATGCATTTCTCTTGTTTTCCTGTTGTTTTCGATCTTAATGAATCCACTGTCAAATGTAGAAGCTTGTTAAAAGTTGAACATGTGATTTTTACTGGGGCAGGTGCCCCAGTAACAAGGGTCTAGCATTGCCTCTGGTTATGGCCAATCCATGACTAGCACAGATGCCCAATAACAAAGCACCATTTGGGTTCAGATTGGGCAGGCCGTTCCTCCCAGTCTCCCTCTTCCAGGTTTCTCCATCACTGCCCACATGAGCATTGATATACCCCAGTAGAACTATAGAGTCCGCAGGTGGCGTCCCCTCGAGGACCTCCCCGGGGTCCCTAAAAAGGCCACATACTCTGAAGTACCATCCGGCACATAAGCACAAACAACAGTCAGTTTAGCTCCCAGAGACTTTAAGTTGCATGGAGGTGACCCTGTAATTTCTTGGGGAGAATGCCAACACAGCAGCGCTCAGCCAGGGATTTGTGAGTATCCTCACACCTGCCCGGCACCTCTCACCCTGGGCAATTCTAGACAAGGATAGTCTCTAAGATTTTTGCTCCAGAGCCAGAACTATGTGTGGGGGTAAGCCCAATTATATCTACTTGGTATTGCTCCACCTCCTGCACAAGCTCCAGCTCCTTCCCCACCAGAGAGGTGACATTCCATGTTAGTAGACCTAGCCTATGCAGCCAGGGATCGACATGCCCAGGTACCCGACCTAGCCTGCCGCCTGACTTGCATTGCACCCAACCCCGATTCCACAGGGTGGTGGCTTTATGCCTTTTCTTCAGGCTGTGCTTTACTGGACCCCATGAGCTAAGGCCCAGCCACTGGACACTCGCCGGCAAGTTCCCCTCCCAGGTCTGGCTCTGGCAGGGTGCCCCAGTTTCTCTAATCTAGATGAGGTAGTGCAACTCAAAGTGGACATTTTCGTCACAGTTTTGAATTGCTCTGAGCCTGGCCCCTCCCCTGGGACCAATTTGCCTTGGGAGACTATGCCAAGGGCCAGGATCACTGGGGCACACAGACCTCTCTGCCGTTAAGGTGGCGATTCCAGAAAACTATTGTTTTTGTTGTGGGTTGATCTGATCTGAAACATCGTTTTCTTGTATGCCTAAGTGTTTACCAAGTTTTTGATTAGTAATTACACATAGAACTGTAGATACAGTAACATCAAATGAGCAGTGATAATGACAACAAATAATTTTGAAATGTAACTCACTGTTTTGCATCATGGAGGCCACACCAGTCTCCCAGCTTGTTTGACTTCTGTAATCTGTACAAAGAGAGTAAAAATCTTTTACTGGACTTTAATGTTGAGGACATGAACAGACAATACACCACATGCAACTAGTGTTCCTGGACACTGAATCAGAAAGGAGAAAGAGGACATATACGGGTCAATTCTAGTCTAATCAATTTGTTTATACAACAGTGGGGAAAAAAACAAAGAAAAAAGAAACACCAGTTCTGTTATTTAAAATTTGCTTTTGGGAATTTGGAGGAAATAGTGAAGCGTTTTATCAAATAGAAAAACATGCTGAAGTTAAAAAAAAGTCAAACAAACAACACCCAGATACTAACTGGGAAGAATGACTGAATGCTAAGCCACCTTGGTGATTAATATGCTAATGCTGATGTCCATGAAGTTATGAACACAGACTTGGAGATAAGCTCTCCCACTCAGCCAGGGCAGCTTCATGTCCAACACAGCCAAAGACTTGTTTTTGTATTTATACTCAGTGATTTAAAGAATTGTGCACTCTCATTCATTTCTTACATCCACACTTTTCTTTCAGATGAATATAGCTTCTACTGCTGCATGCATGCTGAAAATAGACCACAGCTTATAAGAACATATTTAATTCTGGCCTTCTGATAGTTTTCTGACACTGTTGATGAACGTAAAATCCCCTGTGATCCTCGGCATTATCGTCATGGAATATGCACTAAACAAAGATCATAATGCAGGAATAATAATAATAAATATATGCACAGTAGATCATTATTAATAAAACATACATTTCTATAGCTACTTTTCTCCATTATCATTATGGAAGGACGATCTATTTGCATTAATGCATGCAGAACGCAAATGACATTCATTAAACTTCCTCTCACTTCTCAAAAGCCTTTAAAGCTTAGGTTAAAAAAGAGCTAACCACTAAAGCCTTCAAAGGAGTTCCTTCTCTGATGCTCTTGTCAATAACAACCTGCATAATGAGCATGAGGCAGCTCCACACAGGATCCAGCGCGCAGGCTGCCCATGGGCACCTTGTCCCAGCTCCAACTCGGCGCCCTTCTCCCTGTGAAAGAAGACAAAGAGCCGGAGGAGCGGAGCCGCAGCTCTGCTCGGTAAATACCCGCCAGGCTTTGTGTGTCCACGAGATTTTGGTGTCCTCGCCTCGTTAGTTGCGGCTCGTTAAAAACCCTGTGACACAAAACCGCGACGGGGAGCCCAATTTTCCAGTACAATTGGCGTAAAGGAGTTCAGTTGAACACACTGATGACAATATAAAAGTTTCATTCATCCGCATTCAGCGCGCTGATATGAGGGGGAAAAGCCGAGAGAGAGAGAGAGATGCTGCCGAACACTGGTTCACCCTGCTTTTCAAGCACTGAGGTTGTCCCACTGAACAGCAACAACAACAATAATAATACTAATAATAATAGTAACACTGCAGTATGTTCAGTTGCAGCGCAGATGTAAGAATCTGAGTTGGGGTGCTATTGTACATGAATGCGATACAATTTTAAATTATATTATTATTAATGTTACTTATTCCACTGAGATCTGAACTATGTTTCATATCTAGAGTAAATATTTCAGGCCAATATTCACCAGCTGTGTCAAAATACAATAAAACCTAGCACAACAATTCCAGGGGGACTTAAGTTAGTTCATTATCCTAAATAAGGGAATAACGAGAATCTAATTAAATTCAACAGAAAGGTTTTATATTCATAATGTTCATTTATTCTATTTTGTCTGCAGCTTACGTCTCTTTACAAATGCTTTTATACGAGTCCGCTGCGTCAGTGCACTGGACGACAATATACTTAATCAGCCCAAAATAAAACTATACCAGAAACAACTTTTAATATAAAGATGAAATTAAAGTTGAGCTTTAGTTGTTGCTTGTGCTCCTCAGTCTATTCAGCAGAGGTGCACCCCGCGTGCGGGCACTCGCACTGTGTAGCCTGGTTCGAGGGCCATGCAAACACTTTTCCTATGGTGGCAACTGTAACTGTCCATACAATCAAACGTTAGGCTGACTTTATTCACTGGTGTGCCAGACGTAGCCATTTGTCACACATGTTATAGCCACAGATTATATTTCCAGGGTGCAGTCTCCACGGGGGGCAGGTTCCACCCAAAGTCTGAGAAGCGGACACTTGTGCACGGGGCTGCGACTGGTCAGCATGTGCCAGAGTTTGTCCATCCTGTGCCCTGCTTGTGTCATATAGACCTACAGCTGATCACTCACAGGTAAAACAGTCTGTTTAAATCACAGCATCACTGAAATTCAATGTAAAGTCTGTTTCTGCTGCTGATCGTCAACGTCTGGTGTTTGTCTCCATGGCCCCTCCTGGAGATGACGGTCTGGTTTGTCAGTCTGGATGATCCGAGTTTGTTCTGTCACTCGTCTTTTGTAAACGGAGTCTGTAGTTCACACTAAACTGTGTCTCTGTGAACCGTCCACGTCATCATATATGTGGCTGAACAAAACAGACTAACACTCGCGAGGGCCAGTGCATCAGAGTGCACAGTTTGAGTCAACATTGTGAATCAATCACCACACCTTAAATTTTATTATCGCAACTTAGAGTGTTCAATTTTGCAGGACATACACTTTACTGATGACTGGATCTTCAAGCACTCACAATAATGCAACGTTATGAATTTCAACCAGATTATGCCAGTAGGCCTGTTCTGTTTCCTCTTCTGGATAAAATAAAGTGGTGGAGCAACATTCTGGTGTGTTCTGACACTGCACCTATGGTATTAAGTGGTTAAATAGGTGAATTATTATTGTTTATTGATTGCCAAGAAACAATTTCGGGAGTTAAATTTCTATAAACAGTGTGCGTGTGTGTGTGTGTGTGTGCGTGTGTTTAGATGATGGTTTTATTTTTAAGCTATTTTCAAGGATGTTCAGTGACTGGCTCCACAGTAGCAGCCAACAGACATAACAGATCAACATCCTGTAAGAATGTGAATTTCAAACAAAATGCGAAATTTAAAAAGAAATGCAAACATTCTAATTTCTGGACAATAATGTAAGATACTAAAAGTGTTCGTGCGCTATATCCCAGTGCTGGTGAGCCTGGACGTCCCCGTGCTTTGGCTGCTGTTTGGCTCGGGTTCGAACAGTGTAATCATACATTTATGCGCGTTATGTCCTGTCAGAGCATATGGGGGCAACCCACTCCACTCCCACTCCTCACACACAAAATGAAATGATCCAAAGTCACATGTTGGATGGATTCTTCCCTACCTGATTAACCGTGCGGTTAATTGGCTCCCATTAATTAAGACGTTTAGTAACAGTTGAGGTAATTAGATCATCAATTAAGACGATCATTGTCGTCTTGTATGTGTTGGTTTTTACAGATCTCCCGTTCCAAAACAGCGTGTTGTATATTACCACAGGCGGGCCAAGGTGGGGCGGCTCAGGCTCACGGGTAGAGCAGGTCCGTCCCTGAGTGCAGCGTTGGCTGTTCGATTCCCGGTCTGCCCCCTGCACATGTCAAAGTTTTCCCCGGTGGCCAGGCGAGCGCCCTGCACCGGTGTGTGTGTGTGTCACATTGGCTGGATGTGTGATTCTGTGACGCGCTTCGTCCAGGTCCGGTAGAAAAAGCGTTATGTACGTGAATTCCGTGTACCGTAAGAGGAGACCTATTTATGATGAAGAACTTTTAAAGGTGTTTTCAACACGCACAATATTACACTGACATGTTTTCATGTTTTCTCACGTTTCCTTCCTTTAACTGAGTTCGTTTAGGCCTGTTAAGCGTTCACTCCACAACTCCAATAAAACGACTGTTCTTCAGGATAATTCTGATCAGTTAATGGACTGATGAGGCTAAATGACTTGATTTAGGCTACATTTAATTATCAATTAAAGAAACGTATTCTACAAATGCACATTTTTAGCCAATAATAATAACAATATGGAGGCGGCATGGTGCAAATTATGACTTTTTTCGCCGTTATGGCATCAAAAACCATTGGCTACATTTTCCTCAGAAATAACCAATAAACAAACTGGATGTTTTCATAAAGTTGTTGCCCACACCATTTGTGCATATTGGTCAGGAATATTTGCTTTTATGTGTGTCATTTGTAAGGATTGCCGTGCACATATCGGCCTCAGCATCATTGGTTTTATGGCGGTTTTGTAACGTAAATGCCTTGTTTAACACAATAACAATATTAGGTAGTTAATCAGATATACACGGGGAAATGCAGGTGTAACGGGCGGAATGATACCACTGCTTTGGGTAAAGTCGGTTAAATAACATCTCAAAACTTGTATTAATCCAAAATATTTATTTGCCGATTGTTCTAAATATGTTTTGGACTGTAAAAACCATGACGCACCATACATGTTCCCCTTATTTATTAGGTGAAAAATCGCGGACTTAAAACGACTCCCGCGCACGCGTCGCCTTTTCAGAACACGCACTTGGTCCTCTGCTCCACAGTCGGAGGAACCTCAGAAACCTTTGTAAACATGCCCCTTTCTCCCTGCTCGGCCTCATCATCGGCACAATCCACGTCCCGAGGATTAAGACGCGTCGCAGGCGGCAACGAGCCTAACCCGGCGTTTTTATTTTGTTGTTGTTAGTTTGTTTATTTTGTTTTTAAGTGAACGATTTTACTTAACGTTAATAAACCTGTTTTCCAAGGAACCGGTGGAAAATATCTCCGAACCCAGAGCAGCAGCCCGGCCTTGGGCTGGGAGGAATGCCAGATACTCTCCTGTCCACACACAGGTTCATCTTTAGATCGCTGCCTGTTAGTCTTCACAGTATTTATCGAAAATGAAGTTGTATGACTTGGGGGCAGATTCAGTTACTATAATTACAGTATTAAAAACATTATGTTTTACTGTCAGTAATACGAGCAGGGATGGGACGAAGCGTTTTGAACGGTTTATTTACTGCATTCTGTATTTATTTATTTGGTTATTCCTTTTTGTAGCGAGCGCTATGAGTCAGATTAACTTGTGAAACATCAATAGGAAGACGTGGATTTGGTCAGCAGCCTAAAAGAGATGTTTGCCATGATCCATTCATTATATTTCCATTGCTTTCTTTTCGTCTATTTCAACAGTCCCTCTCCTCATTTGTCCCTCAGACCTGTCGTTTGTTTCGTCTTTCCTCCTTTCCCTTTCTGTTCTTAAAGCTGCTAAGTTTTTCACGTGTTTCTGTTTTTAATTTCTAAACTGTTCTTTCTCTCCATTTTCTTTTATTCGAAACATTAGTCTAAAAATATGTGCATCGTCTTCATCATTTCCAGGTTCCACATTGTCTTCATCTCGTCCCTATCTGCTAAACAAACTAACTTTTTAACTCGGCGCTGATTGATTGATGGAAAGAGAAGGAGAGAGAGAGAGAGAGAGGGAGCGAGAGTGAGAGCTTACCTTTCTGTGGCATGCTGTACAGAAGAAACGTTTGGGGTTGTTTAGTTTTCCAACAGCTCCTTTCTTCTATTATTTCCTCCAATTAGTTTCTCCTTGACTGAAGAGACAAGAGCAGAGAGAACAGAACTGGTCCTCTGAGGAGGAGGGAGGAGAGAGGGAGGGAGAGCCAGTGGGAGGGGCGAGGGAATGCCAGAGGGAAAGAATGGGGGGAGAGAGAGTGGAGGGGATTAGGAGTTGGACTGGTGAGATCTGAGAGTTTGTTCATTACTCTGTGAAGAGAAAGAGAGGGAAGATGGAATTAGTCTTTATGGGGACGTAGATCCAGAGGATGAACTGGGCTGGGATCCACCAGAGCCGAGCTGATGTCCAAACAGCACCCAGCTGCGCTCTGTCTACTTCAGTATCACATCATATATATTACATTCTAAGTTACATGGTGGTCTAGACTGCGAGGGAGATGTGATGTCTGTTAACACCAAACCAATGATATCAAATTTCATAAGTTATCAGATGTGCACATGCATGAGCTAGTTCTAGTTTTGCTCCCTAAACCAGTTAATGTTAATATATGCATTATATATATATTTTACTGAGCAATTTGGGGTGGGGGCTACAGCCGCTGATGCGGCTGTATAATTAGAATGATGTTTTATTGAATATACTTTAAAATGAAATATCTTGGATCTATTACAGTGAATGGGTTTGAAAAATTTATAGGTTTTATAGCATATACTGTATCTGCTGAGTGAGATGTGACCTCCTGCTACACAGCACAATTAGTTTTTCAGAAAATTAAAATCAAAGGAGACTTGTCGTCTGTTTCTTCTGATAACTTCCATTAAAACAGATGCACCTTTAAAAAGTTCCCAAATATAAGTAAAAAAGAAATGAGCACAGTAAATCCAAAATGGTAATGTTATGGCTGTTAGATCCGCTCGGACACAGAGGGGAGCGAGTCAAAAAAAAGGACGGACCCAGGTGGCTGACTTCAGTGTAAGTAGTGCTCAGTTTATTTACAGTGATATCTTACAAGGAAGTGAATAACCAGGTTGAAGTGGGACCGGGTGTCGAGCCGCAGAAGGTGAATAACAGTCAGTGGTGGAATGATGAGGGAAAGGCCGGGCTGCGGACGCTGGGACTCACTCCTGGGCTGGTCGTGGTGGAAGGTTGCTGAGGAGACAGAGTTAGTACATGCAGTTAATGGGAGACTGTGCATCGACCTGCGAGGTGGAGATAGTGCGGGGTTGAGGAGGTCTGTGGTCCGGAGAAGCGACAGAGGCGAGAAGGCTGAGACAATGGGGCACAAGACTGGAATGGGGCTAGGGCAACAAAAACGTGAGTACAATATAAAGCTAAGAACAACGAGAAACAAATGGGCCTGATGATACTAGAAAGAACTGGCAGGGGAGTGAACGTAGAGCAGGGAATAAATAGGGAGAACTAATCAGGTGCAGCTGGTGGTAATCAGGGGATATGAAGCAGGTGTGTCGGATAACGTAATCAAGGTAAGGGAGCAAAAACAGAGTGAGGGAAGTGAGAAAGGCAGGTGCAGCCGG